ACCTTTCTCTGGGCAGGAATGACCTGGAATTTACCAACGAGAGTTGGGCCAAAGGGACTGACAAACTGCCACATCTCAGCTTCTTGGCTCTGGACAGAAAAAGAGTCAAACGTTTGATATTTCCACAAGGCAGCAAATCCACGCAGAACGTGGTGCCATTACGCACGCTGCCCCCGTGGAATCCATGGTAATGGCTCATCATTACCATCACCTGACAACAGGCCTGCTGCGGGCTTTAGGGCACCCCATACCTCGTAAACCCTCGGGCTGTGTGTGGGACAAACCCACCTTAGGCATCAGTCTTGGGCCTAACTGCTCTGAAACCCAGCTCTTCGGCAAAGGCCAAACTTTGCTGCCAGACACCTGGCTCACTGTGTAACCAATGCCGTCAATGCTACAATGGCAGTCACTGTCACTGGGGCTGCCTGGTGGGGCACTCTGCCCCCCCCCCCACCACCATAGTATGGATAAAGTCCTCCCTCAAGAAAGCATAACAAAAAGACTGAGGAGACTTCCGCTGGACCCCAGGAAACTCCCTGGATCTGACTCATTTATGGGATAGGCTGAACTTTTTCCAAAAACACATAATTTCTCAAACTAAAGCTAGACTCTGACGAAAGGGTGGGGTGGGGGTGGTTTTTGACAACCCCCTCACTAAGTAAACCAAAAAACACATCTGTAAGATGGATAACCACGGGAGGCATCCTGGTGGGGATTCGAATCTTCAACAAAACTCGTTCTGTTTAAACGACCCCCAGTTATTTCGCAGTGGCCGTGTAATTATTCATTAAGTCTGACACTGGAAACATCTATAGGACTGCCCTGCTAACTTGCAGTCTCACCCCCAACTGAACCGGAAAGACTTGAAAGAAGCATGTCTTCGTTTTTCTGCATAGTAGGTCCTCAATGTTTAACTGGTTCAAACACACGGGCCAGGGGGCAGGGGGTGGGGGTGGGAAAGCCAAAACAAAACCCAATTTGGATCAGAGAGCGCCAGTACAGAAATTATACAAATACCAGTTCTCTGGGCTTGCCAGGTTTTTGTTCAAGAAGTAATATAAAACACAGCTCTTTGTCTATGACTTGTGAAAGACTTTAAATACTAATAGAGAATGTGTACTTCATTGTGTATTTAACTGCAAAAGCCTGCCTTTGGCTTAATTGACCAAGAGTAAGTCCTTGTTCCGAAGCTAACGATCAAGTTACAAGTCAACTCCTAAACATTAGCACTCGTGTTGGGGATCCAAGATGCAGATAATACACAACAGAAGATTATTTTAAATCATTCCCTCGTGGTATGCGGATATATTCTTTCTTTCTTTCTTCTTCTTGTCCTCTCTGTTCTTTTAACGTGCAATTAACTGTGTCTGACTGATGGGACTCGGCATTTACCATCCCTGCAACAAAGGACTGAAGATGGCATTCTAGAAAAATACTGCTCAAGGGGGTCTCCAGGTTCATCCCTCCTTCTACTGGGCTATGGAGACGCGCAGGGCACATGGGGCCAGGGCAGCATCGTGTCACAGAAAACCAGGCAAACTCCTTTTGTCCCTCCCCTTCTAGGTTGCTGCTCTTCCCCGCCCCCCTCCCTCCCTACCCCTCTAGGCAGAGTAGAGGGTGGGAAAGTAATTAAGGGTTTGAGATTGGAAAAGCTCCTACTGGGTGGGTGTAAACAAAGATGCCCCTTAATGTCAACAATGACTTAATTAACCAGGGTAGGTGACAATTACAGGAAAAACTTGAAAGTAAGAGTCACCTCCTCCTGGGGGGCATCAAGCTGGACTCTTCTTGAAACCATTAGAATACTAACAGCACACAGTTCTTGGCATTGGGGACTGCTCCCACCCCAACAATCCATTACTGGATTGGCACGGTTCAGCTGGTCCCCTAAAACAAGGAATGAACTGACCACGGCCAGACTGACCCTGTGGCAGGGACAACATAACTCCTCTAGGAAGCCATCGCCAACTGGGCTTTCTGACATCAGGCGACCAGACTCAGCTTCAGAGACCGCGCCCAGAAGAGAAAGTCTATGCTATATAATCCGATAGGGGGAAACAGGGCACCAAGACGGGGAAAGTCCCCCACAGAAGGGCCCAGGCTCTTTCTGGGAACTTCTCAGGCCCGTATTTCTCTGCACACATTTCCCTCTGGTCCAGCCCAAAGGGAACATTGCTGAAACCAGGCTCCCAAATCAACAAATCACATATTGTTCCAAGCCAAGGCCTTGTGTAATAGAAGGTTAAGGTTGAACTTATTGTTAGCTATGGAAAACACACACACACACACACACACACACACACACACCCTACCCCACCCCCCGACTTGTCCGGGCCAGAGCCTAAACTGAAGCTGTCCTAGTTAACTGGTTCTGAATGGTTACATTCTCATCTGTAATTAGATCACCTTCCAACTAACCCTGGGCCCCAGCAGAGCTGCTGGAAGAACCAGTCTTGGGGCTGACATCCATTGAGGTCCTAGATTGACTGTCAGGGTTACACGGGGGACGGACCCTCCAGAGTGCCAACACATACAGCTGCCTGGGAACAGGCAGGGCCTCCTTGGGCAGAAAGCATTGCCTGCTCAACTCTACCCAAGAGCAGGGCTGCTCCCTGACACGGTGCAGCTGACAGGGCCAGGCTCCCAAACCGGTAAGGCCTGTGTTTCCAGTGGGCTGGGGAAGGCTGGGGATGGGATGGGGATGGGATGGGGATGGGGATGGGGATGGGGATGGGGATGGGATGGGGATGGGGATGATGGTTACATACTGGGTGTTTGTTAGGTGCCAGGGCCTGTGCTAATTGCCTTTTCGGCCTGGGTCTAATTTCCAAAGGTTAGCGGTTCAAATACGCTGGCTGCTCCCCACAAGATAGGAAGACGAAGCTGCCTGCTTCCAAATCAACTTGAGTCTTGGAAACCCTATGGAAGTCAGAACGGACTCGGAGCAGCGGGTGTGGTTTAGGGTTAAGGTTTCTCACCACCTCTTTGAGGTGTGTCCTCAGAAGCCTCCAAAGGGTACCAACACTCACTTCATGTAAATGCAAGAAGGGACCCGTATCAAGTCTGCGGGTGACAGTGAGGGAAACTGAGGCCCATGGGCCTGTATACTTTCAAAAGCCTCCCATTGGCAAGCTTTATGATCCTTCCACTAAATCTTTTCTTTCTGGTCTCACAGCCCTGTGTATAAACCTCATGGAAGCAAGGGATGCCCCAAAATGCACAAAAGAACCTTCATAGAACATCACCCACAGTTCCAGGGGGGTTCATGGGGTGTCCCTCCCCACCCCACCCCAACTGCACCCACAGACCCCCGGCTGGGCAGACCCGCTGCTCTCTGCAAAACCCACATTGTCAGACCAAAACTTCTCCACAAATAATCCGTTTCGGGGACTTTAACCCTCACACACCCGTTTCCCCTGCCTGCCTCACCCCTCCTCTTCCTGCATCTATTATAAACTTTCTCCGGTCATTAAACACAGCCACAGAAAGCCTCCAGGGCCGTTTAACACTTTACGTTGACATCAGCTCCCAGAAAGGCTGCCTGGGACAGGCAAATGGCAAATGACAGCTTGTCCCTAACCTGGGCCCGCTCCGGGAGCCCATGCCGCAGCAAAGCCAGGCTCTGCTTCCCTCTTTTGTGCTGAGCCAGGGCTCAGGGGAGAAGTAGCAATTAGGGAAACATCCACTTTAATTATTAGCAAAATTAAAGAAGTACAGGACCGGCTTCTAGAAGCCAGGAACCTTTTCTCTCCCAGGCGGCCCTTTAAAAACACGCAGCGGCCCTGCAAAGTTTGTCCATCTGTCCTGCAGCACAGCCTTAGGTCTCCAGGAGGCAGCTCCCCAAACAAAGCCTGGGACACAATTCCAACCAGGCTCCCTTCAGGGGACCGCAGCACCCCCGGTCCTTACAGAGTCCCCCCCGTAAGTGTGCAGCCACAGTTCCCCAGTCGGCTCACACAACTGCTACGGGCCAAAGATCTGTTTACATTCCTGGGGGTCCCATCTCTCCAATAACCCGTGCAACCTGTCCTGACGGGCCTAAGGAGCTAGCCTTCCTGGCCTCTTCCAGCCGAGCATGCTCTGGACCTCGGTGGCAGGCTCCCAGGCCCAGCAGGCACCAGGTGGGCTCTCAACAAACAGGTTCATTAAGTGGCGATGAGTGCCAGGATCTGCCGCGTTAGTCTCGGATTACCACTCGAAAGCTAACTCGGCTCCCGATATTCCCTGCCGCTGACAGATCTCAACGCTACCCCGAGTCCAGCCTGGGCTAGAGGTCTCTGCAGGACCAGGCGGGGGAGAATTCAGATATGCCCGGCTGCCCCAGCCAGCCCTGCTCCTAGCCTGGAGCCTTCCACGGCCATGTCCAAAGCTGACCCCGGTCATCTTTAAATTCTCACCCATGGGGGAGACCTCCTGGCAAAGCCAGACTCCAATTAACCGAACAGAGAATGGGGGGCTTTTGGAGGCATGGCTAAAGTGTGATAAATTACTATAGCGTGGCAAAAAAAAAAACAAACAACAAATAAAAACCCCAATGTGTTAAGAACTTCCACCCTGAACTTCGGAAGCTTCTTTCTCTCCTTAGACAATGAAAATAAAATGTCAGCATTTCAGGGATTGGCCATTTCCCTTCCTGCTCCTTCTCTCGGAAAAGAGCAATTCTCTCCATTGCAAGCTAGCGCAACCCTCCTCCTGCAGGCGTGCGGTGCAGGAACCTGCGGCGGGCATGCCCCTAGCTGTGCAAGTCTCTTCTGCAGCTCCCACCCAGCACAGAGGGACCCCCCCACACACAAGCCACCACCTGGCTGCCCCGTCCCACCTGCACTGCCACTGCCAGGCGCCGTCTCTCGTCCCCTAGGACATGGGTGGCACACAGCCACTGCTGCCCACGGCCCTCACCCAGCCTCAGGTGACCACGCAAGGACAGCTGGTGCTAAAGCAGACACCTCCACAGACAATCTCCACACACTGGGAGCAGGACGAAAGGCTCAGTCGCTTACCTTCTGGCTCCAAGGTGGTATCTTCAACTAAATTGAAGGAGGGCCGGGCCAGAGACACGGTTGCCAGGGTGACCACGACCAGGCAGATAAAGCGACCCCAGCTGACCATGGTTACGGTGCCAATGCCCGGTCCTCTTCCATATCTCCATGTGGACATAAATCCCATCTGCACACTTCCGCCACGGGCATGGGCCGCCAGCGACGTCTTCAGCCTGCGGTGGGCTCAGGAACCGGGGGCCGCTGCTGCTACCGGCGCAGCAGCCACTAGAGGAAAGAGATTTGGCGAGTCAGTGACAGCGTTCCCGCACCAAGCCACTCAAAACCCAAGTGGGATCCAGCGGCCGTCAGCTCCTGGAAGGACAAGGGGAAATCAGGTGGTCCTGCATCATCTACAATGCCCCGGGGCTCCCGGTAATCCACCCTACAAGCCTCGCGGGAAACGTGTTTGGTGCGTCTTCTCAGAAGCACATTTTAAACGGCACAGCTGCAGGACCCAGAGGGGCAAAATCCCCTCAGTTAGGTTCTCCCCTCAACTGCCCCTCCGTACCCCCCACCAAAAAAGCAGAAACCACACAACCGTCATTCCAAGGGCCCCTTCAAAATGCTCAGGCTTTTCCTACTATCTTCTCTTAGCCCCACCTGGCTTCAGAAAGCTGACCTCTGGCCCGTGTGTCCAGCCCGGCATTTCTGCAGGGCTGCCTGGGTAAGGTTGGTACCCCTCCCCGGAGTTCGAAGCCAACAGGCCAACAAAGGCAAACTCATCCCAAAACAGCTGCAGGAAACACCCGCCGGGTGACCCTGTCGGGATCCATTTCCAAACGCAGAGAGAATTCCATTTCGATCTTTCGCCCCACGGTCACTGAGAAGGAACCCGCAGAATGATATTCCATCTGCATCAGCTGAGCCCACAGGGGTTGGGAGCCGGGCCACCTGGCCACGTCACCCAGGTCGAGGTAATGGACTCCACCTACACAGCACCCACCATTGAGAAACTGAACAGACGCCAACCTGGGGCTTCAGGAGGATAAGGAGCGGGGCTGGGGACAATATGCAAATGGTTGGCCTGGCACGTGATTGGGCCAGTAACTTCCAATGTGCTCCCTGTTGCCTAAAATTTCAGAAGCTACCAGGGGGCGCTCAAACTTAGCGGTCCACCCAGGAGATCCAAAATCTTTTAAAGGTGATGATCATTTCAAGGAAGGTTTACAGCATCCGAATAAGATTGCTATGGGCTTGCATAAAGGAGCCCTGGTGGCGCTGTGGGTCAGGCAATGGGCTGCTAACCCCTAGGTGGGCGGTTCAAATCTACCAGAGCACATCTCCCAAGAAAGACCAGGCTGTCTACTCCCATAAAGATTTACAGTCCCGGAAGCTCTCTCTAGAGCCATCTCGATGAGTCGGTGTAGGTTTGATGGCAGCGGGTTTGGTCTGATAAAGGCGCCCAGGGCGCAAATGGCAAGCCGCGCAGTTGATTACCAAAAGACAGGCAGTTAGAACCTCCCCAGAGAGTAGAGGGCCAAAGCCCAAGCAATCTCCTCCAGGAGATGACCCAGTCATCAATTCCAACTCGGAACAACCCTGCAGGGCAGCGGAGAACAGTCCCAGGGGCCTTCCAAGATTATCATCTTAATGGAAACAGATTGCCGCATCCTTCCCTGTGGCTGGTGGGTTCAAACCTTCCAGTTTCACAGTCCAGCACCTTAACCAGTGGGCCACCAGCGCATCTGCACTCATCAGCAGTTCTGCTCCATTACTCAGGATCACGATGAGTTGCAACCGACCCGAAGGCCCCCCGACGAAGCAAATACCTCACTGCGTGATGCTTGTTCCCAGTGGCGACATTCAGATTTCCACACTGCCCCTGGTCGTGGAAAACCGATCCTCTGGTCCTAACCGGGATGAAGATGGCAATAGAATTCAGGCAACTTTCCCAAAGGGGAGGACTGTCCCTGTGAGTTTCCGAGATGGGAACTGTTTACGGGAGAAGTAAGCCTCCCGGTCTTTCTCCTTGCTTGCAGCGGCTGGTGGGTTCAAACTGCTGAATTGAGGATCGAAGCCCAACACGTAACCCTTACGCCACCTGGGCTCCTAGGCAAATTACAGGGGGCTTCATAAAGCACGTGGGGAAATTCCATGACCTTTTCATCTCATTTGCCCTTGAATTTTCAGATGTCCTCGCTTTCTAAGAAAGTACACATGGAACTGAAATTCACATTAGGGAAACACCTATTTTGAAATTGTTGGACAATCTCATCCACCCTCCCTCCCACCCCACCCCACCCCACCCCAACTCCTTCCCTCTTAAAATTAAGCATCTCCAAGACAATTCCGAGGCAATTTCTACAAATATGTGCGAAGTTAGGCCAACTCCTCTCTCGATTTATTAACTAAGCAACTCCAGAATGCACGAAGACTTGCTGCCTCTCATACAACTTGACCCGCAGACCCACTTGACTCCAGCCTGCTGCCCCCACCACCTGCCCCTCCCTCTCAGGAGCCATTAGCTATGAGCTGGGAAAGTTAGGCTCTCACAGTCCACCAGTGCCAACCAGATCCCACTACCAACACGTAGGCGCCAACCCACAGCGACCCTAAAGGCAGGGTGGAACTACCCTGTGCGTTTTCCAGGGTTGTAAATTTTGGTAGAAGCAGACTTACACCTCTCTCTCCAGAAGAACACGCAGATTGGAACTGTTTACCCACTAGGGCTCCAGTCTCCCCCAGAAACCTGCATTCCGGGCCCAGGCCCCAGTGAAGGCCCCTCCCCAGATCCCTGCAAGGCTGGGACCTGGGGCGGCAGGTCTGTGCAGCCCTGCAGCAGAGTGGACAAAGGTCCAGAGTGGCCCCCTAGGCGAGATAATTAGGTCCCAAGCTCGGAGTTGGGAACACAGGCCCAGCATGAGGCTGGCGGCCACAATCCAGCTTCCTGCCTACAAAACCATAATCCTTCTTGGAGCCCGAGCGCCAGGGAGAGCCCGGCGTGTTTATTTTTCCCCTTGAAAGGGAACTCCTCTCACTGGTCTCAGCCTGGGCTGCGGAGTAGTCGGTTGCCCTCCCTGACTGATGGCTCTACATGGCCACTGCCCACCTCCACCTCCGGCCAATTTTCACCTTGGCGCAAACTGACCCCAAGAAGGGCCAAGTGACCAGTGATAGAAGCTTCCCACAATGATCCCAGAGACTCATCTCTGAGATGGACCTCCAGGGCCTGGGCAGGCCTCCATGAGGTGCCCACCTTAGGGACGGGGCTCTGTCCACTGCTGGGTCGCCCTCAGTGAACACTTGGGCACTTGGCTCCAGGGTAAATTTCTATCAGCCAGGTCAACCAGGGCTCACCAGGTTGGGGATGCCTGGCTTTCCCTGCGGGGCACACCCACCTCCTGGCTCCCTGCACACCCCCAGAGCTGAGCAGAACAAGATAAGGAACCTCCAGGGTATTCGACTGGGGGTGGGGGTGGGGGGTCGCCAGAGAGGAGTCTTCTGAACACATAAAAAGGAACAAACGGGCAGGCTGCTCCCCGGCTAAGTCTCTCTGCCTTTGGCAATCAAGCCACACTAGCCTTTTGGGCAGCTTTGGGGTGTCCCTCACCACCACAACCACCCCCATTTCATAGTAGCTTTCCTTTCCTCCGCGGGCCTGGAATTTCCAGTTTTTCTCCCCGAGCTCCCGCGAAAAGAGCGCAGGGAAATCTGCATTTTAATTGACATTCCAGGGAAAGGGGCGCCTGATTGCTTTTCTATTCAAACTAAACAGGCTTTTCAGATGAAAATAAGTCCGAGCCTGTGGAAGATTTACTGGGATTTGGGACTGGGGGGGCGGGGGGGGG